TTAGTATTAAACTGCTAATATTAAATGCTTTATGTTTAATAAAATGATTTTATAATCAATAGTTTAAACTTTAAAGTTTAAGTTTTAATTTTATGCACAGCTTAAACAAGGTCTCGATCACGTGATTTAAATGCAGCGTTTTTATTGGTTGTTATAAAAAATTTGAAATTCAAAATCCCACTTCGATGATCCTGCCGGGATATGAGAACCAATTAATTAATTTTATGCCGCCTAAACTATAATATATATTTAAATAAAATAAAAAATAAACAAAAACATTTTAAATATATTTTATAATAAAATTTATCAGTTATATAATAATTAATTATTATTTTTATTAAATAAAGTTATTAAAATTCTATATAAAATTTTTGTTAATGAAAAATATACTACAATTACATATTACAAATGCAGTAATTTATCTATTGAACTGACTTGATACTTTTTGACCAACTCTGTAAATAAATTTTTAAACTCGTCATGTTTTAAATGCACTATAAATTTTGTTGCGGCAAAGATTTGAGCTCCTGAGCATTTTTTTACTCTCTTGATGGCAATTTTTGTAAATTCAAATATTACCTCCTCTGGCTAAGCAATGGATTCATAAGATCTAATTGTTGGAAAACCAAAAAAAAGAAGGCATTCTCATTTGTACTCAATTTGATCAAAAAAAGCGTAAGCCAATTCACTCAAATATTTGGTATCCTTTTTTAGTATCAGAAAAAGTCTTTGCGAAACCACCCATCCGAAAGATACTCAATAATCCAAAGCCATTGGATCTCTAATGTAAGTATGACGTCATCACCGTTCAAGTTTAGATTAACATCTTGAAATAGTTTTCGTATAGCGAATATATTTTGATCCATCCATTTGCTGCTTGGACTTTTAAGTAATAATAGTAATATGAATAAAATTGATTAAAATATAAATTTATAAATTATATTTTAGAATCCAATTCCTTCTTTCTCAGGACTTTACGAGTAACTTCTAACGTTATAAGACTGATTGACTGGAAGATAAATGCGACTGAAGAATACGTGGATTATTAATATTCCCATTAGTTGGTACCGGTATCCGAATTGGTTGAAGATATTGAGGATTCTCTTTTACTTTTCGAGCTAGATAAGCATATGTGTTTAATACTGGAGGAGATTCTGAATATAATGGGAGGGCTTTTGAAATCCAGAGCTTAGTATGTTCTCTGCGCAGAAACCAATGGTCATAAGTGGCGAGAATACCATATCTAAGTTCGCTTTCTCCCATATAGTTGTAAGTTTCTTGATTACACTTCTTGTCTTTCTATTCGTTTTGTAAAATGTCTGTTCACCCATATCGATATCTTGCAAAATATGCGTTCTTTTAATTTCAATCACCAAGATCAAAAATTCTGCAAGTACAATCCGGTATGCCAATAGTGTAAGTTGGTCGTCTTGATAATCTGATCCCATAAGTTCATTCAATATCTGGCAATATTGAAATTAAAAAACGCTCGAATATCTTCTCTCCTTGAGACATTAATGGTCTTGTAGTACAAGAGGAAAATTCAAAATGTGGGACGGGGTGTTTAGGTATTGACATTGATAAAAGTCTTTGAGAAAATGTGAAAGGGAAAAATGTTAATGTACTTTCATCCTCATTATCAGATTCTGTTTCACTAGAGGGTGTAGAATGTCTCATTGCATTAATATTTGAAACATTACTGTCTCGTCTTTGATGATCAGAACCAATACCATCATATAATTGCTAACGAATCTCATCAGGAATATCAACTCGACTGGGTGAAGAAGCAGCGAAATTATTATTATTAGAATTAATTATACCATCACTACTACATTATTATTGTTATCGTTAATATTATTATGTTATGTTGCTTCAATAATGTATTTAATGATGAGAGCTATTTTAGGAGATTGTGGCTCAAGTTGAACAGCTATTGAAAGAGACGAAGAAGCATTTCCAAGTTTAAACTACTTCCTTATAAGTAAAAGTTTTCCAATGTCACCCTATGATACGAACGTAAATTGTTGTAGTTAAGCGGAAAGTTACTT